TCGCTTGTTTCCTGTCCAGGATTGGGTTTCCGGTTCCTTCTAAAGTCTACTTCAACTCTATACTCCTTTTGCTTGTCTTTTCTTGCGCTAAGACAACTCCACGCAGTAACCTTCTATCTCGATTGGCTCTTGGGCCTTGCATAGGGTGAACATTAGTAAAAAAAAAAAAAAAAAAAAGCAAAAAAACAAACAAACTAACAAATATATTTGAAACCAGAAGCTGTCAGTCGAGCAAAAACAATGGGTGAACACCGGCTTATGTATTGATTATATTCATTTCGTTAAAATATCTATGGGAAAAGCATGAATCCACTTCCCCCTCGCTGAATATCTTTTTCCGGGTATACAAAGATGTGACAGATTGAATGCGTTATGAACTGGACAAAACTACTCACCCTTAAATACCTTACCTGCCAAGGCAGGCCCAGCAAAAAGCTGTTACATCCAGAGACAATAAAGATGTCAATATTGACAGTGTAATGCATACTTTTTTCGCTACGGCTCAGTAGGTAATCATATTTACAGACAAAAGATATTGTCACTTGATGTCGGAAGTATCTTGAAGCGGTGTCCTAGCCTGGTGTCATAAATTTCAGGATCATTGTCCAAGAAGATTGAAATCATTTGTGCGGGAATACATTTGTTTAGTCCTTGGCGACTCAAGGTAACGCCAAGTGCGATCGATCTGGAGATTGCAAGTCATTAAAAACAGGTCAATGTTTCCTCGTCAGAACAATGAAACAAACAGGTAAAAATTGATTGCTTTCGGAATCCGGCAGAATGACAGGATAAAGAACAAATAGGAAACGTATTCTATTTGCTCTTTATCCTATCACACACACATTTATATATATATATATATATATATATATATATATATATATATATATATATATATTTAAGCATTTCACCCCAAGCAAGGCGGGAAGCCACTAGGACGCAAGGGGTTATAGAAGATTTGGAACAAGATCAGATAGGAGTGATAGAGGAAAGGGTGAGGAGAAGGATAGTGGATAGATCAAGGCAACTGGAGATGTCGATTGACATTACATTTGAATAGTTGGAGATTATAGCTCTCAGGGAAACTGGAATAGGGAAGGGAGTTCCACAGGCGAGAGGTGCGAGACATATGAAGCTAATTGGAGTAGAAGAGACGGCTACATTTAGTAGTTTCAACAGTGAAAGGGTGCGAGCGGGATGCCAGCCTCGTAGGGCGCTTGAATTCATGAAGTCTGGGAACCAGCGAATGCAGCTCCTCGGAGCAATTACCATGAAAGTGTATATATATATATATATATATATATATATATATATATATATATATATATATATGTATGTATGTATACCAGTTGTAACACCAAAATTGTCCAAATCGTGTAAACGGAATAATTGTCCATCAGACACAAAATGTTTAATATCTAAAAAAAACACTGAACTAATTTTTTTTTTTTTTTTAGATAAGACGTTTACCATCTGGATACCATTTGTCTTAAGATTCACAGAAAAACCATTTGAGTTATTCAGCTAGAAGGAGAACAGGTTAAAATCATTTTGTGTCAGACCAAATATGTCTTCTCAACTGAGCAATGGTGAAGGGAAAAAAGATCATTCAGGACTTCAGTAATGGTACCAACATTCAAAGGCTTCCATCTTCAAAGTCCATTCAAGAACCATCAAGAGAACGGTGAATAAGTTTGAAAAAGAGGGAACAGTGGAGAAGAAAACTGGATCAGGAAGACACAACAGGATCATCATTTCAACTTAATATAAAGAGATCAATTCATAGGACGTTTGGCACGTGAGGGGGTGTTTCAGCTATGACAGTCCAAAGAGCAGTGAGGCACTTTGTTACTCCAGGACAAAAAGTTAGAAGGTTAGACAGGGGGGAAGATCATCTTTAATAGATTGTAAAATGATGCTGGATATATATATATATATATATATATATATATATATGAACTTTATTTAAATCCCTTATATGCTCTCAATCCTTAGCTATGATTAAATTAATGATGAACATGTCATTTTCGTTTATGATCAATTTCATCACGATTCTTCTGTTAAGCTTGGAGAGTAATTATAAATTCTTATTGCTCAAAGTAGAGTCCAGTAGAGTTATAGAAACCTTGGGGAATTCCGGTAAAATATCTTTAATCTTTTCTAAGATACAACAGTTCATAGCTTAATCTAACACATGAACAATCTTTGCTTTTACACGATTTGGACACTTTTGCTGTTAAACCTGGTATATATAAAGTAATATTTTTGAGGAAAGCATCAAAGGGAGCTTGCTTTTATTTAAAAAAGAAATCTACAGAAATTTGTACTCTTTAATTTTAATTCTAAGTATAATAATGGATTTGATTGATTCGTTCTTTACGGCTTACCTATTAACAGGAAGAGGTATTATCATTTCAACTTAGAGCTAAATACATTATTATTGTTTAGAGTTCAATAATGTTATAAAAACATTGGAGAATTCCAGTAAGATATCTTTAATCATTTCTAACGTTTCAAATCAGATATATATATATATATATATATATATATATATATATATATATATAGAGAGAGAGAGAGAGAGAGAGATAACGCGAGAATGATTGTGTGCGTG